CACTAAGCAAACCCTTTGTCCAACAGAAGAGGGAGAGGGGAAGGAGGAACAATGAGAAGAACTGGACCCCTTGCCCTTATAAGCCCCAGTGTGACTACAGACTGCATGCTCGGCTCTCAGCTCTCTCCTGAGCTGCCCACCTGGCCTGCCAGGTGCATTCTCCCCATTAAACCTGTATCCTTGCTTTCCCCAGTCTGAGTGACTGGACACTCTCTCGCTCAGATTCTGTCTGGAGAGGGGCCCATCCGTTTTGGCAGATGCCCTAGCCTATTAAACCTTGCTACCTTGCCTCCCACTCCTCTCTGTCTCACATCTGATTTTTTTCTTGCATGAAGACAAGAACCTAGTCCACCCATCTCAGTTAGCATAAGTATTATTATTCTGCATTGTGGGTGAGAAATGTGAGGGTCAGAAATTAAATGACTTAAAGGCACCTGCCTTACACGTGGCAAGAGATCTGAGCCCAAGCCTTACTGTCTTAAAGGTCCAGACACTTTAAAAACAAATGCATGAATGTTTGAAATGGAAAATAAACGGGATTAAAATGCAGACAGACCTGGACTCCACTGCCTCCTGACTGCACCCATGGGCCGGCCCCTCTCCCCAGCCGGTTCATGCTGTGCTTTCTGCTTCCTCTGTATCCTTGTCAGCGTCCTGCCCAATGCCAGATTCCCTTGCCTGAAACTACTCATTATCTTTTCTAGAATCCCTTCCTATCACTCATTTTTTAAAAGATATATTTCATTTACTTGAAAGACAGAGTGACACAGAGAGAGGGAGAGACAGAGAAAGAGAGAGAGAGTGAGATCTTCCATTCGCTGGTTCACTCTGACCCCAGCCCTGGCCTTGGCAGCATTGAGGGAGTGAACCAGAAGATAGAAGATCTCTCTCTACCTCCCCTGCACCCTACTTCCTAGTTGCTCTGCCTTTCAAATAAATAAATAAATCTTTAAAAAAAAAAAGGACTGAGCCATAGGCATAAACGGGGAATCATCTTGGACCCCCGAGGATGTATGGTCACCCCATGCTGCCCACCCACACAGGCACCCACAGCAGCTGCCAATGGAACAGGTCCAGCATCCCGGCCAGCTTCTGCTCTACTGTAGATTCTCTGCTCTACCGGGCACCTGGCATCTCCATCTCAGACGGTCCCCTCTAGACTGAAGCCTGTTTAACTTCCGATTTGGCATCCTCGCTAAGACAGTCTCTCCCTCATCTGCCAGCACCCAGGAGCCAGTTCCGCCCCTGCAGGGCCAGCCCAGTGCTCCTGCTGGGACTGCACACCTTCAGTCTCCCCCCACCCCCCATCATTACCCTTACTATATCACTTGGCTCAGACTTGGCCAGTAGTTATCCTTCCTTCCATGGCCTGATCTCCCAGCCTAGCCAACAGGAAGCCTCTCTTCTCTGACCTTTCTCAGCCTCTGCCGTGTCTGTCATCTGCTCTGTACTCAGCACAGCCCCACTGAGCAGCAACTGACCTTTCGAGAACTAATCAAGGCTGCTGGCTCTAGGTAGTTCATTTTCACACTCTCAGCCTCTCACCAACCATGTGCTTGACAAATCACTGCAAAGGACAGTGGTAGTGGTGGCAATGAGGATGACGGGACCATCTGATGGCAAAGACTCAGGACATATCTGGACTCAGTCTCTCCCATTTTTCTACTCTTCTGCTGAGATCCTCTCCAGGGAAACTCAGGTGTTCTTAAATGCTTAGAAGCAGGAGCAAGAGAAATGCCCAGCTCTAACACACAGCACAGCACACCCCAGCTCCCTGGCAACCACGGTTCCTCCCACTCAGGATCGTGCATCCTCAATAAATGTTAAATCCCAAAAGTTACAGCAAAATCCTTAGAGACATAAAGGTTCTCAACTACTCCCGGAAAATAAGGAAATCATAGCTGGGTTTCCCAGTATCTCCAGTTTTCCAGGAGGACTTAAAAAAAGAAGAAGGGGCCAAGGTGAGTCCCCAGTCCCATCTAATTCCTGCTACCCACATGAGCTCTGGATTCTCCTTTTTCCTACCCTCACCTGAATCAACAGGACACCTTTGCCCTGTATCCTAAAGCTTGGCCATAGCATAGGGGCCCAACTTCCTTCTGACTCAACAGTACCTGGAGTTTCTGCACATGTAACAACTGGTAATGGAGAAAGAGCAAGTGATTAAACAGTTGCAACACCAGCAGCCCATATGGGAGAACTGGTTCAAGGCCCAGCTGCTCTGCTTCCAGTCCAGCTCCCTGAAAATGCCCTTGGGAAGCAGCAGATGATGGCTCAAGTACTTGAGTTCTGCCATTCAGATGAGAGTCTCAGATGGGGTTCTTTGTTCCTGGCTTCAACCTGGCCCAGCCCTAAATGTTACAGCCACTTGGGGAGTAAACTAGTGGATGGGAGAGTTCTCTGTCACTCTGCCTTTCAAATAAATAAAAAAAAAATCTTTAAAAAAAAATACATAACTTGGGGCCGGCACTGTGGCATAGCAGATTAAGCTCCCACCTGCAGCACCAGCAGCCCATTATGGGCTGCTCCACTTCTGATCCAACTCCCTGATAATGCACCTGGGAAAGCAACAAAGAGTGGTCCAAGTACTTGGGCCCCTGTATCCACATAGGAATCTCAGAAGAAGCTCCTGGCACCTGGCCATTGAGGCTATATGGGGAGTAAACAAGAGGATAGAAGACCTCTCTCTCTCTCTCTCTCTCTCTTTCTCCTTCTGTAACACTGCCTTTCAAATAAATTTTTTTTTTTAAATTTAAAAAATACATAACATGGGGCTGGCACTGTGGCACAGTAGATAAAGCCGCCTGCTGCAGTACTGGTATCCCATAGAGGCACCGGTTTGAGACCCAGCTGCTCCACTTCTGATCCAGCTCTCTGCTATGGCCTGGGAAAGCAGTAGAAGATGGCCCAAGTGCTTGGGTCCCTGAACCCATGTGGGAGACCCGGAAGAAGCTCCTGGCTTTGGATTGGCCCAGCTCCGGTCATTGCAGTTATTTGGGGAGTGAACCAGTAGATGGAAGACTCTCTCTCTCTCTGCCTCTGCTTCTGCCTCTCTGTAACTCTTTCAAATAAATAACCTTTAAAACAAACAAAAAAATTACATAACATGACATTTTGTTAGTCATTAACAAAATGGAAATATTTATATAGGGAACAGTCTGGTAGGAAAATATAACAAATTATTAATAGTGATTTTCTTATTAAAGTAATTCAATAAAAGTATGTTATTTGTATAATAAAAATATAAAGCAACATGGTGTCCACATGTTGGCTTTCTTTTTGCCAGTGTTAGTGGATGTGGTACCTTACCACTCTGTCGTGGTCGCCAGTGGCTGATCAAGGAAAAACTAATGAAAGCTATAGGCCCAGGAGACCAGTTCCTTCTGTGGCCCTCAGGTGAGGGTGGCTTTTGACCCCATCAGTGTGTAAAACCAAACAAACCCCATGATCCTCTCATCACTCCCCTGCAAATAGCAGACTACCACCTTTTTGCTTTGTTGCTTTTTTCCTTCTACATCCTGTTAAGAAGCAAAGTGTGGTGGAAAATATAAGTCGATGGCCAAAAAAATAAGTACAGAGAGAAGCAAGACATTACAGGACCCTTGACAAGGGGATGTGGATCCGAACAGCATTACAGGGGCTGGTGCTGTGGCACGGTAGACACTGGCATCCTATATGGGCACGGGTTCACATCCCAACAGCTCCTCTTCTGATTCAGCTCTCTGCTATGGCCCGGAAAAGCCATAGATGATAACCCAAGTGTTTGGACCCCTGCACCCATGTGGGAGACTCTGAGGAAGTTCCTGGCTCCTGGTTTTGATTCGGCCCAGTTCTGGCTGTTGCAGCCATTTGAGGAGTGAATCAGCAGATGGAAAACCTTTCTCTCTGTCTCTCCCTCTCTCTGTAACTCTACAAAACAAAACAAAACAAAACAAAAAAAACCAACTCTCAAATAAGTAAAATCTTAAAAAACAAAACAAAACAAAACAGGCACTAGAAAACTTAGGTTCCAGTTCCAATGCTGGTCAGGTCCTTGTCCTTCCAGACCTTCTCCTTCCTAAGTATCCGGGACAATTTATTGAACATGTATACTTGCCAGGCATGTTTGTTGGGGTAAAGACCATGGAATTTATTTATTTATTTATTTATTTATATTATTTATTTATTTGAAAGACAGAGTTAAATGAGGGAGTAAATGAGAGAAAGAGAGAGCACACACTGGTTCACTCTCCAAATGGCCACAACAGCTGGGGTTGGGCCAGGCCACATCAGGAGCATCAACTCCACCTGGGTCTCCTGTCTCCCTCATGGGTACAGGAGCCCAGCAGTTGGGCCACCTTCTGATGCCTTCCCAGGTGCATTAGCAGGGAGGTAGATCCAAAGTGGAGCAGCCAGGACTTGAACTGGTGTTCACATGGGACGCCAGTGTCACAGGAGGCAGCTTACCCGGCTTTGCTGCAACGCCGGCCCTGAGGCCAAGTAAAGTTGCAATGGCTTTGTAGACAATCAGAGAGTTCCCACACACATATTAGGGATTTGCTGCCTGTTCTGCAGCTGCAGAGAAGTATTATCAGATGGTACCTCCACCCCTCCCACCTGTCACCGCAGGTCCTCCTTCTTGGAGGAGGGCTGTCTTTGAGGCGCCACTCAGCACCTGCACCCATCACGCACAACGCACGGGCTATGTTTGAGCCAGGCCTTCCCACACACATCTACCACTTCCTTTGCAAGCGCTGCAGAGACAGACACTTACATTTCCACAGGTTTTCATACATAATGCCTTTTGCTGAGGCCCCGGCATGAGAAAATGCCGACTTCTGCCATAACTGAGATCTTCACAGTTCAAATTCTGTGTTAACCACTGGACCACAGAACGGAGCGTTTTGCCGGAAGCCACGGGAGAGTAACCGGAAGTGGCGGCGGGGCCTGGCGAGCCTGCCCCGCCTCCTCGCTGGGCGTGGCTCGCCGTCCGTGCTGAGCAAGGCTGCGGAGATACTCACCTACACACTTCTTCCCGTCCTCCGCCAGGTTGTAGCCACTGTAGCACTGGCACACAAAGGAGCCCGGCACGTTCACGCAGAGCTGCTCACACGCGTGGTCCTCCGTGGCACACAGATCCTGGACTGGGGCAAAATGGCAGCATTAGAACCTGGCCCCTGGCGGTGCCTGACGGGCTGCACTCTGAGAACTCTGGAAGGGTTCATTCGTGATCGTAGCAGGACGTTTGGAAAACAGAGAAAAACACTTAAAAGGAAATCCACCCGTAATCCTCCCACGCGGAGGCAAGCGTGGGTCTCACTGTGGCGATTTTTTTTCTCCAGGTGAGTGTAGTAAAGCATAGATTTTCTCAAAGTTGGACTTATTCGGCACCTCTATGGGCGGCGGTAAGTGATGTTTAATTCACATCAGTTTAGATTTTCCTGGGTCGGTGTGAAGTGCTCTGAGAACACGTGGCTGGCTCTGGGGAACCAGGCATTCCACTTGTTCCATCGGACTCCACGCCTAAGCTGTGGAACGTGAAGCGCTTCATGATCGCTTGCACTGATTCACCCCAAGATCATCTGGCACCGTCTTTGACATTTTGCAGATAGGGCAGCTGAGGAACCGCCACCCCCAGGGAAACAGGGCAAGTCTAAAAATAGCCCCTAACTCCCAAGTCTGCATCAATCATCCTGGACATACTTTCCCTGATTCCATTTGCCTACCAGAGGCTCTTGCAAAATACTCGTCGTATTCTATTTATTCATCCCAGTAACCCAAGAGGAAAATGTAAACGCTAAAGGAAGTTAGAGAGCGGACACAAGGATTCCCAGGGAGAATAAGATACACAGGGATTGGTGTTCTTGATGTGGGACAGGCAGGTAGTTTAGGTTGGCTGAGCTGGAAGTCAATGCAAGCCCCTATATGTAATTCTACCCTCCTACTTGTCAATCAAAATGCCCCCTTTCCTGGGATGCACCTGCTTCATCTAGGACCTCAGTGGGGGATGCCATGAAAATATGGAGAGTGAGCACCGAGTGGAACATGTAGAGGTACCACATAATTCCCAGGTGGCTTCATGTCTGGAAAGGTACCACCCCCACCCTCTTAAAGGAGGCTACAAAGGGACTCTCTTCCACCACAGACCACAGCTGGAGGTGCCGCTCAGGTACCCTGTCTCCCCTCCCCCACCCCTTCTCTCTTCAAATAACCTGCTGGCCCACTGCCCACTCATGGTGGGTACTTCTCTGTGTGGGGCAAAGCATGATCATGCATGTATGTGTGTTCACTTCCTCAACTTTTGAATACATTTTGTTATTACTTGGCTCACCTTCTGTATGTCTGCACTGAGAATGCTTGTCTGGTACAAGACAAGAGCCTGGAGGAAAATCATTCCAGCCCATGGCCACATCAGTCTTATGTTGGCCAAACATTATTCTGTATCCACAAAGTGCTGGGCTCTGGCTCAGTACTCACATGCAAGGCAGGGACGCCCTTACAGGAACGCAGCTGCCACAGCGGAGTGGAGACGACATCAGAGACTGAAAGGTTAAAGACATCTTCAAGCCACCACTGACTCAGGCCTGCCTTGGCGCAGACAAGCCGACCTGCAGATACCGCTTCCCAGTACAGAGAACAGCCTGGGTGCTGTGTGACAGCTAGCTAGCTCTACCAGCGATCTTACCATTAAAATTGGAGAAAATCAGAGCTCGTGAAAGGGACTGACTATACTAAAGAGAATCTCTCCTGGTTAAAAGCTGTTACTCTGAGAGGTAGGATAAAAATGCAGTTATATAGAAAGTTTGATTAACCCCTGACTCCAATAACCACACTTTAATATCATCTCCTAGATTTTGATTTTCACAGGTTATTATGCTTTTAGATAAATATAAACTATCAAATTGATACAAAGATAAATGCTGAACTGATTCAGCACCTCTATTAAATGCATTAAACAATTTTTAAAAATAAACTCAAAGGCAAGCATTTAGCCTAGTGATAAAGGTATTGCTGTGATGCCCACATCTCGAATCAGAGTGCATGGGTTTGAGTCCTGAACCCACTCCCAACTCCAGCTTCCTGCTAATTAACGCCTGGGAGGAGTGGTGATGGCTCAACAAATTGGGCTCCTGCCACCCATACAAGAGACCCAGATTGAGTTTCCAGCTCCTGGCTTTGTATGATTTTGAATTTCCTCACAGAAGCTTAAAACAAGAGCTTTTTATAATAATGGAAAAAATAAGTATATTGCAAAAGAACCCTTTTGCAAGTAGCGTTTCAAAAGCAATGAACCAAGACCTTGAAGCCACAATCTTTTTTCCAAAAGACTTCCCCCTACTACCGGGGTTTGCTGAAAGAGGCCATGAACTTGATGTTCCTTCCAGGCTGGGCTGGGGCACTTGCAGAAGAGTCCATGAGTTAACTGCAAGGTTCTGATAGAAGCAGCAGTGCCTGGCCCCAGCAGTCATTAGAACCTTCAGGGGCCTTTTGTGAATCTGATGCCAAGTCACTGCCCACACTCCACCAACCCCATCAGATCAGATCAGCTCAGCGTGGATTCCGGCAATGGTGCCTGTTCAAGCTCCCAGAAGTCTCCAGCATGTAGCCAAGCTGACAGCCACTGAACCTAACGGATAACAAGGCCCTGTGGTCCTCACAGGAGAAGGCAGAGCTGTCATCTCCTTTATAATCTGAGAAGCCAGCCGAGTTTCCTGTTGGAAGCAAACTTGAGCGTGACTGCTGCTCTTTCTCCCCTCTCTACATGGCTAAAACAGGCCCAGACGAGGGTGCAAAGTTAGAGGAGCAAGAGGGACTACGGCCCGACGACGGCCCACATTCCAGAAGAATCATCCCAAGAACGGGAGGCTGCCAGTTGGCTCCTTGTGGCCTGTCCTTTCATACTGCTTTTAGAATGTTCAGGATTTACGGCCAAGGGTGATTTGTACTGACCCAAGGGAAACCATTGAAGGATTAAGCTAATTAAACAAAGACAAAGGAATAAATACAGACTGGGTTCTGACAAAACAAGTGTGTTGTTTTCCTGGCAGTGGCCACTTCCATTTGAAACAAATGCAGATGTTTTTTGGATGATTCTTTGTACTTTTGAAAAACAGCACTTCTTTTTCTCATAGCCTCCGAGGATTTCCCTGAAGGGTGATAAAACCAACCATGGGGGGATGGGAAAGACTTTGGATTCAGAGACCCCATTACCCTGACACAGCCTTCTGCCTTCTCTACCTGCTGACTCCACTCACCGCCCATGACTTCAGGCAAACGTCAGTTCATCCAGGAAGGCTTTTCCAAGTGACTGGGCGGCAGACTTCTTCCTCTAGTTTCCTGTGGCACAACCCTCAGGCCCCAGTCCAGCATGTACGCATTAGTCCCTGTTAGTAAAATGGCCCAGTCTTATCTGTGGCGCCATCTAGTCCCTGGGCGCCATCTTGGGCTCTGGAAGCCAGGTGACCAGATGGCCCAACCACAGGTCCACAGGTGCCAGCTCCACCCCCACTCTAATGGGATTTGCTGTTCCTACTTCCCTAGCAAGGGAATTTAGGGAATTAATCCCTAGCAAGGATTTAACAGGACCTGTTCCTGAACACTTGCTCTCCCTCTCTCTCTCTCTCTCTTACCCTCTCCCCTCAACCCGTCGGGCTACCCTCACCCTTTCCTCTAGCTCTGGTGTTTGTGTGTTTTGTGGCAGCCTTACAGTCCCATAGTACTGCAAGGATTGATGACATTTCTTTCTGCCCCATGAGAGTTAGGAGCTGCTCCTGGTTTTGATTCCCTAGAGCCTAGCACAGTACCCTAGTGCATACTGTTAGTACTCCATTGGTGTTCCTTTGATGAATATCACTGTTTGAACAGTGACAAAAGCCTGTAGGCCTGCCCCCCCCCCAACAGGTTGCTCCTTAAGTCCCAAAAACACTCTCCTCCATCAATAATGGGGTCCTGGGAAGATGAGTGAGATGGGGACAAAATTCTCTCCAAGTCTCTGTTCCTCTTACCCTCATCAAGAGGCAATCCCATGCCAGGATTACAACGACATCCGGGAGGCAGCCTACAGCTTGCAGATACCACAAAAACTGTCCTGATATTAGGGCCCCTGTGCCTTGCTATCCACTGCATCCCTGCTACCTAACACAATGCCTAGCACATTACAGTTGCTAACAGATGCTTGTTGAGGGGACCAGTGAACAATATCCTTAATACGTAGACACGGGGCTATCAGGTGTTCCTGACCTCTCTCTCTTACCTAGGCTGCAAGTTCGCTGACAGCCAGGTCTGTCTCTCATAGCCTCGGTGTTCCTCATGGTACCTGTGTAATACCATGCATTTGACATGCTGATATGACTTGAGCCTCCCTTCCTGCCCAGCCAAGAGCACTGTCTCCTGGGCAGAAATGCGAGAGCGAGGAGGAACCTGCAGTATTCTTTAGTTCCCCTTGAGCAAAGATAAACTTTTAGATTAGCTGTTTTTTACCCTGGTGCAAGAATGGCAACAGAAACTTGAAGTCAAAGGGCTGCTCCCTCTCATGCATCCTTCTGAGCAACCGTGGTGGCTCCCCAACTGGTCTCCTTCAGTCTATCCTAGCTTGCAGACCCCCCAGCAGCCAGGGCAATCTGCTCCCACTTTTCTTCTGCTTAAAACCCTTCACGCGTCCCACTGTTCTAGGATAAAGCTCAAAATCTCGAATGTGATAGAGTATGGCGTGACCCTCCCCCTCACCTCTCCTGTCTCAGGCTGTTTTCTCTGTTTTCTCTGTTCCTTCTACACTGTCCCTCCCCTTTCTCCAAATTGAGCTTTCTCATGCTTCAGCACCTCTGCACATACCATGCCTACTACCTAGAATACTCACACCCCTCCCTCACTTCCTTTGCACCTATCTGGCTCCTATATCCTTTAGGGTTCAGCTTAAAGGCCACTTTCTCAGGAAATCTTGCTGGGCATTAGGGCTTTGTAGTCCTAATCACAATCTCCTTTTGTAGTCCTCACTACAATTAGAATTCAATGCTGAATTTGCAGTTGACTGTTGCATATCTGTTTTGTCCTCGACTCCTTCTCTTCATTAGCATTCTAGCTCAGATACTCAGCACAGTGCCTGGCTGGTGATCAAGTGAAAAAAAAAAAAATGAGTGTGATTAAA